CATCCTAACAGTTCAGTGTGTGTGTTACTGTTACATCTGTGAACTGTCTGTCTGTCTCACCCAGGAATAAACCTCAGCAGGGTCAGGGACAAGGTGGGAACAGGGGAAAAGGGTGGGTATGATCCAGGAGTGTTGGTTTGGCTGGTGTTTCTAGACTGTTCTTAGGTTGGGTGTGTTTTTGTCTTTAACAGTAGAGCTTGTTTTTGTCTCTAACATTTGTCACATCTGTGTGTTTGTTTACTAACATCTCGTCTGTTCCATTCTAACACCTTCAGTTCAAACTCTGGGCAGCAGGGTAACCGGGAACAGGGGTAAGGAACCTCCATATATATCATCTTTTATTCCCTCAATCCAACATTACCCATTCCTATTTCAGATGAGAATTCACATGAATATTTTACATGTACAGTACAGTGTAAGTTACAGTTAGACATTTGCTGGCTCAGCTTAACAAATTTCCTGGTATGAAACTCTGATAAACATCTTCAACAGATTTGACAGGTAACTAAATAGAGCAGGCTAGGTTCACATGTAATTGAAAACCTTTTATTTCTATAGGATATACATGTACCTCCTGATTTCAGCTAATTTGTACTTTTGAATTCACCTACAAGAGAATATTCTCTGCTTTGTCAGTAGGAATAACAATGTCGAAACCTTTAAAGAATTTATATCACCCTTGGATTTTTATGGTGAATCGTTTTTCAAGGTACACAACATTTCTGAAGAGATTGTTGCTTTTTCTTTTTCTTTAGTCCTCCCAAGTTACATGTAAACATTTTGTTTTAGGTTGTACATATAAATTGTACAGAGACCATTGTACAGACAACATTCTCTGCTTCTTTGAAGACTCTCTCAGTGTCAGTATTAAGTCCCAATCTTTGTGGAACACCGCATTTACAAGTACTAAGTCCCAATCCTGTTGTCTGTGTTTGTTCAGGACGGAGTCCCCGCAGAGATCCGGGCGTAACCAGCGCCGACGGGACCGCGACCGCCGTGACGCCAGGAGGGGGAACGACTCGCAGGACAGTGCCAACCAATCACACGACAGCGGACCAAAGGTGGGGAAAAAAACAGAAAACTATAGCATAGAAGCATGAAGCAAGTTTGAACTGTGATTTCCAACACTAGAAATTGGACTTGCCCAAATATTCTACTGTACAACATCAGTCTTTTTTACTGAAGTGAGGGTACATCAGGGATCAGTCTTTAATTACGCCATTCTAACTGTTCTAACAAGAAGGACCAAAGGTGGGAAAAGGGAAAAAGATAAAGTAGAAGCATGTTGTGGTCAGGTTTCCAGCAAATCTAGCCTGACTACATCATGCTGCTAGCAGCCTTTTCATCAGTCAGGCCCCTAGAATTAAAGGCCAGCACTTTCAATTTTGTATTTTGCCAACCAATCACAGGACAGCAGACCAAAGGTGGGAAAAGGAGGGAGAAATAAAGCGAACAATACATAGAAGCATGTGGTGGTCAGGTGGATAGCAAATCTAGCCTGACTACATCATGCTGCTAGCAGCCTTTCCAAGGGTCAGGCCCTTTGAATCTTCAAGGCCAGCCCTTTTAATTCTGAATCTTTAGTCCCCCACTATTCGTCCTTGTGCTAGAAACTGTTTTTAGTACACAATGCTGTATTGTACTCATTTTCAACTTTGAATTTTCCCATATTCATTCATTCATTTACAATTTACAAATTGCCATTCTCCCCAGCAGCCATCTGGTCATGAGAAGAAGCCCCAGTCAACAGCTCCCCCTGCTGGTCCCAGCGGGGATGGCAGGCAGTCGGCGAAGGCGGGATCCGGTTCTAACCAGTCGCCCAGCCGGCCGCGGAACCAGCACAACCAGCCGCGCCACCAGCAGAAAGGCGGCGGGCCCCGGGTGAACGGGTCTGCGGAGCACGCGGTGCAGAACGGGCCCAGGGAAAACGGGCCCGGCGTTCCTGAGAGGGACATGAACAGGCCCGGCGTGCCCTCGGACGCCCTCCCCCAGCGCAAGCCCAAGCAGAGGGGGGGCGCGCACAACAAGGAACAGCCCAAAGCCATTCCCAACGGGGTGCCAGCGCCTGAAGGAACAGCGACCACCAACGGAGACTGGGAGTGAGGCTGAGGCTGACCCTAGCAACGACCATGGACCACGCCCGGATACAGGCCTGTCATGCCAAAGGGACTACTACAATGCTGCGGTTGCTAGGCAACAGTTACTAGGCAACAGTTGCTAAGAGACATGACACAGAATGCTCTGCCCTACCAATCTGTTTTGAACCATTTTCAAGTGGTCCTCTTGTACCATAAAACGTTGGTAATAAAGATGTTATACAGTACCGAAGGCAGGAGGCTCAGAGTATGCTGAGTTAGAGTTCTCACTCGAAGTTGTTAGCAGAAAGTTCTTCTTTCAAAAATTCAAAGCTTGTTCATCCAATAAGCTTTTAAAAGTTTTCGTTCCTTTTTGTTCTGTTTTTGATTAAGGTACATTTCTCATGAGTGAGAATTCCACTTAGAAGAAATCGAGTCCTTGCTTGTTCTACAATCATTCTAGCCCATAGCTTGTCAAGTCCAGAGATGGAAGGACTCAAATTGCTTCAGGATCCGTCTTGAAGTCCCAAGACATCTTGAAGCTCCAGGACAATATCTTAAAGTTTCTCACCACTCTAGAAGTTTGACTGCATCCATACATGCATGTTCTTTAAATGCCTCCCTTTCAGAGCGCCTTGTAAAAGTGCCTTACTCTTCACGTAAAAAAATGAATTGAATATTGCATATACATAAAAGCTGAAGATCTAGAACAAATGTAGCATTTATGAACTGTTGTCATCATTTTCAACATGTACACAATGTAAACTGCAAAAAAAAAGAACACCCGTTTTAAAGTTGACTGTTCCAAAATGTAATGCTGGGAGGAACCATCCTGCCCCTGTGGAGGGGTGAAATGTATTCTCTTGTAAATCATAGCCTAAATGTAAAGGAAGTATTTATAATCTTGGATGATGCCATGATATATATAGCTGTACGGTAAAGTTGGACAGAACTACTAGTTTGTTTGGGACAGTCCCAGGGACCAACTCTTTCCGAGCCAATAGTTTAGAGAACGTTATACTGTTTTTGTAGCGTTACAGCTACTATACCAATTTGCAAACGTTGAAGATAAGAAAGAAAATTGCCACACGACCGTGTGGAGAAACTGTAGCATGATGTGGAAAGGTGGTTGTGGCAATATAAGGCCTGCTGTAGAACATGTAGCCATGTCTGTGGCAATATCATAAGTCTGAACTTGTGCAACATCAGTTTACATAGGATCTCTTTCTGCTGTGGCAATGTTTAATGTGTTTCTGCTACATTACAACCACCAGAAGAAAAAAAGATCTGTTCATACAACTTCTGATTGTGCAATTCCAAAATAAGTCAAACCATAGAACTTTAGGCCAGTACATACTACTAAAGAAGATAAAAACTTCATCTCTTTATGCTCCTTTCTAACTGCTAAATGTAACCAAAATGTTTGGATCTTTCTTTTAGCATTTGCATGACAAACACAGGTAGAATATTGAACTTCGTGGTGTTAACTACCGCCACAAGTATCTAAAGGCCCCTTCTGATCTGATCCAGTGATCAGTGATCAGCCATCCAGTGATGGCTTCTGCAGTGCAGAGAAGAGCCAGTACTTTATGTCCCTTGTGAACATAACCTACAGGCATTGATCCTGCTGCAATAGCCACCACTGTCATGATAGACTGCCAACTAGTCTTTTTGAGCCATGTTGTCAGTCCTTACCTCCAAGTGCAAATTTAGGTTTGGACTGGCATATGGTAAGCCCATAGTGTTCAAATGTTTTTCTGTATTAGTGGAAATCTGTTGTTGTGTTTTTTTCCTGACAATTTTTGTTTCTCTGAAAGTCAACAGTATGGAAGTACATTGTCAGAAGGGCTATTTTAGAATCATCTGTTCCTGGTTTTGCTCATTGTTAGAACCATATATGGGGTAGGTAAGAGTGCACCACATCACTGGTGACAAGTCATGTGCGTGCACATCAAGTGATGACATCACCACAAGTAGTGTTCTACAACATATTATTGTGATTATCATGACCTTCAAGGTGTTCTGCAAAATGTACAAAAATCTCTCCACCATGACTGCGAACTGTCTCATTCCTACACCACTGTTGTAACATGCCAATGAAGTGCCCAGATATATCCTCAATGTACATAGGAGTATTATAATGCCAATATTGTAAAGAAAACCACAAAAACATGTACAGAGAAATATTGTAACTAATTCTGTGCCTTACCTGGCTACCTTGTCAGGTACAAGCCACTGTAAGAATGTAGCAAGTAGATGTTTTCCCTGTTGCTATGGTAACAGCCTTCTTCTCTCCAAGGTCAAATAAGCTCTGCAACAAGGTCATATATGGCAACCTCAAGAAATTAAAGACCCTAGAACTGCCATTTGCTGTGCCTTTTTCCTTTTATTGTCTTAAAGGCAAAGATGGGCCATGAATTTTTAGGGGAAGAAATCTTTGTAACTACATGCAGCTACCAGTCTCCATACATTATGCTGATGTGCAGAACTTTTGTGTAAAACATTAAGTTTTGCATCTGTACAGAAAATCTTACAATTTAGGGAAGAAAATGATAAATTTCACTTCTGATATTTTGATTGATGACATTTTGGCCAGAAGTGGAAAATCTTGGAAATGGCAAACCAAAGAAGTAACTGTTAAGTCATTGCTTCATTTTTTTCTTTCCTCATGCCTGCTTTGCTTGGAAACGTGGTTCTGTTTAGTGTTATATGTTTCTGTGCCAGAGAGCATTGTTGGGATAAGTCAGTCACATAATGAATTTGCCATGGAGTCTTCTGAACAAGCGTTATTGACTCGAGATTCAGATATTCTCAAAACTTTCCTCTAAAAAGCATCTCTATGGTCAATGCCGCCATCTCGAGCAAATGTCTGATGTCCGCAAATTGTCAAGGTCAAACCTGTAACTGTAGGGGTCAAATATATTCCTGCCACTCTGTTGTCATGCAGGATTTCAGAAAGAGAAGATTGTCAAAAAAACTACTGTGAAGTTTCTGTATTAACCTCAACAAGTGCACAAATTATAAATCTAAATATTGTATTTGAATATTCTTGCTAATTTCTTTGTTCACAATGACTAGAAAGTACCTGAGAAAATGTGTGGAGGTGGAAATACTGTAAAGGCACATAGAAAAGTACTGAAACCTTAGCACCAGAAAATTACGCAACTTATCGTTGTTCAACACTGAACAGACTACTAGTATGTTGTGGATAGTGATTTCATGAAGTGTGCATCAATTGGGGTCAATACAGTAACCAAATTGTATTGACAACTGAAAATGCCAACATTACTATGTGAGGCTATCAGTGTGAATCTGGAGGGGGGAAGGGGGCAAGCTTGAAGGTATTTGGTAGCCCAAAACTATAGAGGATGACAGAAAACCTGTAGTGACTTGTATGGTTACAGGATGTGCCGCTAAACTGTGGGAAAATTCATGTTTGTGACGCAAATATTGGAACTTTCGAAGTTGAAGACGAGGTTTGCTTCGTAACTGTTTTCTGCTGAGCTGTATAGAACCAAATAAACTCCGTCTTGCCTAGCATCCAGACTGCGACAACGTTGTCTTTCACATTTTCTTTATTTAGTATATTGCATTTGAAAATACCCTCAACAACTTGTAGCTTACCAAACACAGTTCTGTAAAACGTCTTGTAAAATATATATTTTTCCATTGTAAAAGTGGCTGCGCGAAGATAAGTTATACCAAGGACATTATGGTTGTACCTAACTTGAGTTCACAGTCACTTAGTCCTTGTTTTTTTCATTTGTAATCATCATTGTGTTTCTGAATAAGAATAAAAAAAAACAGTCCTGGGTACTCACCGCCACCCATACAGCTGTAGGGTAGCGGACAGGGAGTAGCGCCCCTGCCCATAGAGGAGCCGGGCTTCCTAAAACAAACAAACAAAACCTCACAAATTACAAGACCAAGAGCACCCCCCCACACCGTTTCAGATTGAAGTTGACACGAAACCGGAAGAAGAAAAAGCCAGTTATTTTATCCGTGCAGTACGAAACTACTGCATTCCTGCTCTCCAAGCAGATGTTTGGGGTTATTTTTGGCGTGCTGTTTGGCTTTTTTTATTGGGGTTTCTCTTTTGCACTGGATTTTTTTTCACTCGTTGGGTTGGGTGAAGAAAAAATCCAGTGCAAAAGAGAAACCCCGATAAAAAAAGCCTAAAAACACGCCAAAAATAACCCCTAACCTAAACCTCTGCTTGGAGAGTACTGCATTGCATGGAACTGATGGTGAGTTCAGCACCAAGGAGAGTACCATGTCTACACTATGGGGGCGCAGTGTTAGTGTCTATTAGCGGTGAAAAAACAACTATTGCGTTCCTTTAACATCACTTCTGCTTGGGGCTGTGGGATAGTAACAGTTTTCTCCTCACTCGGAGACAATCTTCATGTAGAAGTATGGTTTTAGAGCGTGATCTTTGTTCTATAAGAAAATGAGAAGACATTTCAATAATCAAGCCAGTGGATATAGTAGTTTGGGGATCAACACTTGTTGTGGCAGACGTTATTCTGAACTGATCGCTGGGGTTCAAATAGTTCGAGATGGTGAGAGCAAGCATAATTATTCCGGATGGATTCTCTTCCCGGTCAATTAATTAAACAATTAAATAAATGATCAAGCAGTTGCGCACCCCTATGTAATTAGCCCACATGGTACGGTCCGTCTGGCCAGGTGCAGACAGCAGTGTGACACAGTCTGTCGTGCGGCGTGTTGTGTGAGAATTCTCTCCGTTTTTTTGGGTAAATTTTCCGCTTTTTGTTCGCTAATTTTCCGTCTAGAGTGTATAGTTAAGCGTGGGAACGTTTCCAGGATGGATCTGTGCCGTATTTTGGATGTTTTAGGGAGGAAATTCGCATTTCCTGGCAGGGCGAAGTTTGGACATGCGACTGCCATGGCGGGAAGGACGGCGTGGTGCTGAGAAAACTCGTCCTTGCATGCAAGGTAAAACAACAGACTCCTTGAATGCACATGTTTGTACTTCCAACAATCCCGTAGCAACAGGTCACGTTATATTCTGTTATGTTAACCGTTATTTTCCGTGCAAATTTACGGGCCAAGCTCGTGTGTTTCGTAGAACGGACCTCGTGCTTGCCTCCTAAACAATTTTTGCACTTGGCCATTTTGTATTGAAGTAGTTTTCTTCAGTATCATATCCTTGGAAAACACTAAGTATATTTCTACCGTATTGAGTGGCATTTAGAGAAGCTAAGGGGTAATTTTGGCACTGAAAAGACGAAAAAAATGTCTGTTTTGTTTGAAATTTCCGATGGCGTGGTGGTGAATATATTGGAATGCGCCGCACCTGTGCATAATTAATTCCCCTCAATGTTCCCGCCAAAAACGTACTCTCCAAGCAGATGTTTGGGGTTATTTTTGGCTTGTTTTTAGGCTTTTTTTATCGGGGTTTCACTTGTGCAATGGAATAAAACACAAACCTCTGCTTGAAGAGTACCAAAAACGTAGCATACATGTAATGTTATATAGCGTTAAACCAGTGTTAGAAATAATGTGTGATAAAATATGGACTTTTGTGAAATTACAGTGCAGGTAATTTTTGATACATAACATATTTGTGTATGGCTATGCACGTATGTGTCAAAAAGAAATGCTGTGTGGTTTCAATTTTAACACTAGAAAGGCCAACATTTGCTTCGGAGCAAATGTAATTTTTCACAACATCTCCCTCCCCAAACAAATATAGAATACTCTGAATAAATCATACTGCAATTATACAAGGACAAGCTCTTTGAATCTCGATTGATTATTTGAGACAAGTGTGTAACTTGGTCTCTCTACATAATTAGGTGGCTGCCAACTGATGCAGTAGTGATGATTCCTGTCTGAACCTGACAAGACTGGATTGGACCAGACCAGACCAGACCAGGCGATTTGAAGACCCAAGTAGAATATCAGGTGAGAAAAATCTTAATTCTGCATTTTGCAAATTACATTTCTTTGGTGCATTTGAGGAAAGTGTATAACTTGTTATGTCTGTATATTCTAGTAGTACTTGGTAACTTCTTTCTGTTGCTAATATGTCAGAATTACAGTGACTTTAAAGAAATACCACAAAAGCAGGTGGATTTTCTAAATCAATGTTACAGCATTTTTCAGTTTTTTACATCAGATTTATTGATAAGCAAAGGGATAGTTCAATTGTTCAAGTTTTTTTATCTATTATTTAATGGTCATTCAGTGTTGAGTGGTCAAATTTTGCATCCTACGAATTATTCTTTCCTTATTAAATGTAGATGTGTCCTGACATTCCTGTGCTGACTGGGAGAAACCTGTGATGACTGGCGACTCCTGTGCCTGTCCAATGCAGACCAAATGAGGACTTAGCAAACCAGTTGACTTGAAGACACAGAAGATTTGAGACACAGCACAGAAGACCAAGACATTGAACAGGTAAGTTTGTATTCCCAAACATACATTTGAAAGGTTGACATGTTACTTATATATAGATAACCTACATAGTGCCATCAGTGACAGTTTTGTCTGTATTGAATATAAAGTTTAACATTTTTTTGGGTTGGCTACATCCTTTTTTTTGTAAAACGTAATCAGATTTAGCTATAAGTACATCTGATTTGATGGAGGTTAAACATGCATATTCAGCAGAAAACTGTTACTCAAGCATCTGGATAGATTTTTAAAACTATCAGACATTTAAAGAAGCATCCACTTCTTCAGTATTTAAGACAGTCAGTAGAAGTTATACACTCCAAAAGAAAAAAAAAATAAAGCATGACGATTGTGATATTCAGCTTTATTTGCTTTTATTTGCAAATAGCATTAATTTCCTACCAAATTATGAAAGTTTGAGAAATTTGGATGTTTCCATGCTTTTTAGTTTCAACTAAACAGTTTTTTTACTGGGATGGACTGATGCTCAGTCAACAGACAATGCAAACCGCGTTGACACTTGCCTGACAGTAACACTTTCAAAACAAACTATATATCGGTTGTATAACTTGTATATTCTTTGACTAACATATCAGCTTTGCCTGAATGTCATTGATACATGTAGAAATTAACACTGCTAACGTTATATGTATAAACTTAATGCTCCCCAAATATAACAGGTATGATTTATCTTGTGTCAGATTCTACAGTCTGACAGATCAGTGAAGAAAAGTTTTCTACTGTAACAGTGCTTTTTTTATTGACGATGGAATGTGCCATATCATGAGTTTTTGCTCAGTTTGTCTAATTTCAAAGACAGGTCAAATTCTTCGAAGATAGAAATAGATTATAGCACATTTTTCTGACAATTCAAATTTGAAGAGAAACCTTCAATACATTTGATACCAAAATATTGTACCTGTTTGACACAATTTTTTTGCTGTATGGTATGTTGTAAGTTAAGACATCTGGCCGATAACATTTTGTAACAGTATCGAGGAACTTACCTAGATCTTTAATTCACAATTGGCAGTTACACCTTAAGTAATTTTTGCTGCAGGCAATATTTCCTGCAGTTGGTGATACACAAATTACTGTAAATCACTTTATGTGGAGGCGGCAGGTGCAGCAAAAAGAAAGTTGGCAAATTATTTGTTCACGGTTATGATAAGTTTGTGGCACAGAAGTGACTGTGAAAATCGTGAATACGAAAGTATTGTGAAAAATCGTAATTTACAGTGAATCTTAGACCACACCAATTTAATGGACTTTGGCCTTTCTTGGTTCTCAGATTTGCCTGCTTGATTTTTTTTTGTTTCCCAAAAAAAATATGCTGACATTTTGGCACCAGCAGATTTGTTGCTACTGTAAAAATTTTTCTATTCATCCATGCAGTGGTTTAATCAAAAGTTGAAAATTCATCGTCTGAATTGTAAACCAGCCAAGTTTCCGTGAATTTGTGGCTCATATTGGAAGTATCAATGGGTGCCAGGAGGACTAAAATTGTTTTGCCTAGACTGCATTGCTTTATTGAAATTCTGCACAAATCTTTGAAAAAATTGGTATGACTGCATAGCACAACATTTTTTTAGTAATGCCAATCGCTGCTTTCAAAATATTGACTTTTGTTCTAGGACCCAACAGGACCCAAGTTTTTCGAACGTGGAAGATGTCGACCCGAGTATTAAGGTCGCGTCATGGACGTGCTTTGGACGTCGTACAGCGCCCCATAACACTGAACAGTGTAGAGGATGTTATCGCAAGTCTCAAGGACCCAAAAGGAGCGTCTGCCATCGCTATCCAGAGAAGTATCCAGTCTGAACACCCAGACATGAAGGCAGAGCAGTGCAAGGCACTACTGAGGGCCGTGTTGCTGGAAGGGCTAGACAGTGGACGGCTTCGCCGACCGCCTGGCTCGAAAGTCGGCCGTGGCCTGGTCGGACGATTTCTGCTCAAAGCAACCGACGGAACGTCTGCGGAAACATTGCCCGCTGTACCGGAGACTCAGGACGGAACGTCTGCGGAAAAGGTACCGGCTGTACCGGAGACTCAGGACAGAACGTCTGCGGAAACGTTGCCCGCTGTGCCAGAGACTCAGGACGGAACGTCTGCGGAAAAGGTACCGGCTGTACCGGAGACTCAGGACAGAACGTCTGTGGAAACGTTGCCCGCTGTGCCAGAGACTCAGGACGGAACGTCTGCGGAAAAGGTACCGGCTGTACCGGAGACTCAGGACAGAACGTCTGCGGAAACGTTGCCCGCTGTGCCGGAGACTCAGGACGAAATGTCTGTGGAAAAGTTGCCCGCTGTACCAGAGACTCAAGATGATGGACATGATGGTGACACAGTAGAGGTGAACACAACACAGCCGCAAGTGACTCTGTGACTGTGATTTGCCTATTTGCTCATATACAACTAAATACACAATAAAGTATTTAAAAAAATCGACAAATATACACGTGGGCCTCCCCAAAAAGGAAAAAGTAAATGATCATAAGCACTTACATTAACAATAAATCAAATTATGGTGCAGATCAGAATAACTAAAACACAATTTTATTATGTGTTGGAAGATAAAGTTTAGCCACTCGTCATATTGAACTATATCAACACAGATGAACTTCGTCATCGATGATAGAAGAAATTTATTGAACGACAATTGCACAGGGTACATTGTATGGCAAACAGGTAACAATAAGTAGCATAGTAAAATAGATAGGTATAGAATAAAACTTAACAACTTATATATAGAAAAGAAATAATCAAAAGTTAGCTTAGGCTTTACAATCAGGCGGAGTTATCTTATGGGTACATGTGACAGCAAATCAGTATTCTTTCTAAAAACAAAACAGTCTTTTACGTATTTACCTATTTTTGCATTGTGTGGGCTGTTGCATCAATGATATGTGTACAACTCTTAGGAGGAGGAGGACCCACCAGTGGCGGCGGGAAATCTGACGTTTGACCTAGAAGAGCCTTGCACCCTGGCCGCCTATGTACAGTGGGTACAGGAGAAGAGGGAAAGGCTCATGGGACAGTGTCAGGAGGCAGAGGGATACCTGAACTACCGGAACCTCCCTGCACATGGTATATGAAGTGTATAGTCCCCCATCCGTGAATAGTTTTATCAGGTTGGAAAGACACCCAGTAAAGAGACGCTTTTTACACACCCAAGTCTTTTATTCAGCTGATCCGACGTTTCGGTGATCGTCTGTCACCTTCCTCAGGGCAATTCTGACTGGTTCACATTGCACTGCAGCATAGGCGTCGCTGCTACAGATGCACGTTTGGGAACGCATTGTAGATACATTTCCCTGTAATCCAATCACGCATATGTGTAGATATGTAAATATTGTACATTTGGGAATGCAATCTGTAGCAGCGACACCTGTGCTGCAATGCGATGTGAACCAGTGAGAATTGCCCTGAGGAAGGTGACAGACGGTCACCGAAACGTCGGCTGAATAAAGGACTTGGTAGTGTAAAAAGCGTCTCTTTACAGTGAAGTCTGTTTCACGTATAGCGACGCAGAGTCTATCGGTTGGCAACCCTGCCTCTGGACCAAGAGGTTAGGAGCTCGAATCCCGGCTGTTGTCGCTCACCGGTACCGGACATGCGCGCTACTACTGGAAAGGGTCGCAGGACGGGACGTTAGGCTGTGGTCCATTGTTCATTGATTTGTGTTGGTGAAAAAAAGGGGAATTTCCCCGGTACAGTGAACCTGTAAATACTGTACATAGCATCTGTCTTCTTCGGATTCTGAGTCAACAACCCAAACCACCTTGCCACCTAGCCTGCACTTCTCACTAAATCTGCCATGTGTTGCTCTTGTTCAAGTGCAACCTTGGACGTAGATGTAATTTGTTTACCTGACTTTCAGTGCCCAAACGTATTAGTGGACGACAAGTACATACCGAAAAGTATTCACTTAAGAAATTCACATTGAATTGAATCTCATTTTGAAGCTCTTGTGTGGCATTCTGATGAAGTCTTTGCTACATTATGTTGTTTCAGCTCTTGAACAAGTCCGCATAGCCGTTGGCAGGTCAAGGCTGATCACAAGTAACTCGACATCCCCGCTGGCCAGGTTTGAAGTTCTGTGCCGGGAAGCCATGGTGAGTATTTGTTTGTTTTATGTTGAACATATGATTTTCCCATGATACGTTGATACTCTACTCAATGCAATGTTGCACCTGAACAGTATCTTTGTTGATGTAGATTACTAACGTTAATATTCCAGTCTCAAGATGCCTTTTTCATGTGAGTTGGGTACAACTGGAACAGAACAACAAATGGCATTATGCACAGCAATCACCACAGAGAAACACACCATTCAGCTTTGTCTCCACTATTTACAAACCAAGCAGCCCCAACACTACACTAACAGGAGCATTGTAACTGTGGCCCTTTAAAGCTCTTTTATGCAGAAATCAAAACACTTTTTAGGTCTCTGAAAAAAGACTCTGTTGGCATGCGCATACCTCTCACTATGAGGGCTATGTATTGCCAACTGGGACATAACACCAACAATTAATGCTACTGTAAGTTGAAAATGCCCTTAGACTTATTAGTGAAGAGAACATTTATGCCTAACTCCCTTCAAACCCAAACCTTTGCCAGTTGGCTGGGTGCCACCTCCTCTGAGCAGCTCTGGGACTCCATCCGCCAGGGGAACTTACCATCAGTGCGGAGACTGGCCCGGTCTCGGCTGGTCGACTTGAACAAACCGTTTCCGCTGCACCAGGGAGAGACAGAGGACTGTGGGAGGGAGGAACTGCACAATCCAACCTTCCTACTGTGGGCATGTAGGACAGCTGATGTGGAGACTGTGGAGGTGCTGGTTGCAGCAGGTGCCGATGTGGACAGGTGTGTTTGTTGGTTTACTTGCATAGCAAAAGCAAGTAAAGACCGTAACATAAGTTATAAAATTGTGCCGGCAGAGGGAGGAAACCTAAGACAGCTTATCCTAATTTTTAATCCCCCATCTATATACTAATTTAACATAATGATTGTGTTCTTTGGCAACATTCGATAAAGAGTGGTAAAATAAAGTTACATATAATATATCAAAAGTAACAATGCTACAATATGAATGATCAATAATTTATTGATAAAAGTTAACAGCAGTACATATGAGATGTTGTGGGATATTACAGAGGGTTAGGATATCCTATGAGATAACTTTTTAGAGTTTTTAATGACACTTCTATACTGTTACAGGTGTGGTTATGTCCCAGCTTTGCGAGGAGCAGACTGGCAGTGCTCCGTGTGGGATGCAGAGAAACACTCCCACACCCCGCTCACGTACGCCACAGTGCAGAGAAACCTCCAGCTCGTGAGAACACTGCTCCTGTCGTGCCACGCCGATCCCAACGCTACAAACATACAACACAGGGCACCGCTACACTTTGCTGCACGTTTGGAAGTACCCAAAACTACTGACAAGAACAACAGCGACAGTGAAAAAACAAGGGAAGAAATTGTCAACATGCTCTTAAAAGCAGGAGCGAAGGCTGACTTAACTGATAGACATGGTATCACTCCTCTACATGTGGCCGCTGAAAAAGTGGATAAAACTGTCTGCAAGGCTCTTCTACAACCTGAATACAGCCGATTCACCAACGTCAATGCTGTTACTAAGGATGGCAGGACTCCGTTGCACTGTATGTTTCAGTATGGAGTACAGACCTACGATGACCAGATAGCAGCGATCGCAAAGATGTTACTCAAGCGAGGTGCATCTCTACATGTAGTTACACGTGGCTATACTCCACTTCATCTAGCTGCAGAGAACGGTCTCCTGAAGTCAGCACGAGTTTTGGTGCAGGCTGGAGCAGACATCCAGGCCACAACTACGCGAGGTCTCTCCCCCTTGGATCTGGCGTATCGCGGGAACCACTGGAAACTTGTAAAGTACTTCCGCAGATGTGTGGATGCTTCTAAGTCTGATACAAACAATAATTGTAACTCTACAATTCCCAAAAGTCCTACTGAACAACCCACTCCTGTCTCAATCCTGAAGACTCGCTGTCTGGAGAAAGACAAAAAGAAGATTTCGGTCCTGATGGCTAAAATGGACGACTTTCTTATTCAGGTTTCTTCAGAAGAGACCAGAGAGAACCTGTTGTCCAGGGTTGAGGACTGGCTTCAACCCAAAGACATTAAAGGACAGGACAAAATGAAGGAGGTTTTGTTTGGGAGTCTCCAAAAGTATCAGGAAAATAACAAGCAAGTTAGGAAGAAGAAAAAAGTCACATTTAAGCTCTAAAAGTACAACAGTGTGTACTGTTAAGAATGAAACACCCAGAATACCAAATTGTATTAAAAGCCAGAATGAAGAAATGTGGTCATTGCTCTTCAACATGTAAAATGTAGCGTTAATAGTGCTATATGTTGTGAGTTTGAATGATTTGTATGTTTGAAATAGGTACAATTTGCAGCAAATAAACTGACTAAACCTTTAAAACGATTTGTATATCCCGTATGGCCATCTTTTATGGCAGAAACCCACTTTAAGATAGCATCTAAATTATTTCATAACCGAATGTCAGCCACAGCAAGGACATTATACAGAATGTCCTTGGCCACAGTGATATCATAGTTACTGTCTAAATGAAGTAGGCCAAAAAAGCTGTCATGTCCAGGCAGCATTACATGATAAAGGAGGGAGATACCATTATTAAACTGCTCAAACTAACTACCCATTTAGTATTCTAGTGTTGGTTTCTCTATTGTTAGCCTGACAGGGTTTGTTAGGGTGGGTCATGGTAGTGCATATCACAACTGTACAGTAACACAAAGAAATGTTGACTTGTTCATGCCTGGTGAAGACTTTTGTTCCTTGCATTTTAGGCCTGAAAGATGTTGCAGTAACCACCCTTTTGTAACATTGAATGTAAAATTGAATTGAACATTCAACCCTTTTAAATTAACTGTGTATGTATGTACAATGTAAGATTAATTCTGACATGTATTGTCCTAAGATTTTTAGAACAAATGTGAAGAAAAAAAGTAGAACTGAGAGAAACTGAACATCTGAAAAAAATGTAAAATAAATTGTAGGAACAAATGGGAGGTCATCTTTTTCCACCATTTATTTTTGATCATTGCAAACTTTGCCGTAATATTCCATCTCCACAAAGACTCTTTGGAACAGCTTTTTAAACACAAGGACAGTCATATATTTGCCCATCCTGCCCACTACTACTGTAACAGTGAAAATACACAACCAGAAACTTGCACTACACATCTGAGCTCTCTGATCAGACACATCTATGTAAAACATGAACCGTACGGTACAAGTGTTTTTTCTTCATTCTATTAATCACCTTTCCCTCTCTGCTCTTGGTTCATGCTAGGAAGTTCAACTCACATTTGGTCCATGAGTAGTCTGTCAGCTAGAAATACACTCTGCAAATAAATGAAGCATACCGGTATTGCATGCCTTATAACTAAGCTGAAAAGTTTACACGAAACTTTGTGAACATGAAAGTAGTTTTGAAGGTAACCTCAGTCACAATTTGTATGACAATAGTTCCACATCAAATTCAATGGAGAAAATGGTGTTGTCTCCTTTATAACTGGTTGAATACCGACTCTTTTTTAAGGTACAAACATGATCATTCTAGAATTAGAATAAGCTGTGTTGGGAGCTCTTAGTATCTCACTGATACCAAATGGTCAAGTAGCTGCTACTAGAAGTACATTTTAGAGAAGGGGAAAGAGTTATTCCTTTTTAAGGTATAGTATGACTTAGGTGGGATTGCAGTGCTCTAAATTTCAAGCTCGCTTCCTTAGCAAACAAGATCCAGAACAAGTACAATATGTAAACCTCTTCCTCTTTATAACTGGTCTCAGACATTGCCAAAATGGGCTGCCAGCAAAACAGTAGAATACTAGACGTATAGCCAAATAGGGAAAATAATTGGATAGGGGAGTTTGATAAGAAATCTACTCCCCTAGCCAGTCAGACCCTATTTTTGCCAAATTCTACCATCCTAACCCCCACAGAAATGCCTGGTGGAGGCTACAGTTACCCCCTTAGAAAGGCCTGGTGTAGGCTAATGAACTCCCTACAGACTTGCCCTGGTCTTCAGGTAGTTGCTGATATTGGTGGCAAAATGAAACCCTAATTGTAAACCCGCTCCCCTTGCCAGTCAGTCCCTGTTCCTGCCAAATTTTACCACCCTAACACTAGGTGGAGACTAGTGAACCCAGCTGCCTACAGACTAGCCCTGGTCTTCAGGTAGTTGCTGATGTTTCCGGCGTCGCGTGCCAGCCAGGCGGCGTTGAGCCGGATGTTCTCGCAGGACTGCTGGACGGTTCGCTCGGCCGCCGGCGCGGGGTGCTGCCTGAAGAACTCCTCAACCTCCCGCGCACGGGACTCCTCCACAAACCCACTGGTGCTGAACTGGGGAACACATCGCCATGGAAACGGGTTAGTCAAACTCATAACTGGGAAATGGCATAGTAATGACAACTTGTTAGCGCAAAGGCAACAATATTTTACAGTGGAAAAACATCATCACAACAGTCTGAAACAAAACTGAAGACACAAAGGGCCATGGCCAATGGTTAATGACAATTGCTAAGGCCACACTTAATTTTATGGATGACATCCTCTGAAGACCTCTAAACTCGTGCGTGTGGGCAAATAGAATAAAATTCTGGCCAAAAATATGGAATACAAAGCTGGTATTGTGAATTTGCGGTTACAGTAGTACATAGCGACTTTTACGACAAGCACATGCTGGCTTTTCGTGGAATTTATGAATCGGCACTGTATGTATGTACTGAGTTCTTGAGTTGTGAAGCTTTGGCAGCCTTGGTGCCCTTTATATACCTGGACCAGCCTGGCCAATAAGAAACCTCCACTGAACCAACCAATGATGTGGCTTGGCCAATAGGAAGCCTCTACTGAACCAACCAACCAATGAGAAGCCCTTACCTGTACCAGCCTGGCCAATAGGAAGCCTCCCTGGTAGCGCGTGTGCAGCTCGTCCCAGCGGTCCTGTACAAACTTCCAGGCCAGCTCGCGACCTTTCAGGCTGGAGGTCGCGCCTCCGATCACGAACACGGTGTCCTGGGAGCGCACCTCACTCTGAAACAACAGTACATTCAGATTCAGATTCAGTTTTATTGATAATGACTTTGCATGTACGTGACAATTCACATGCACATGAAGTGCGTCATCATTTACAATTGTAAAATCACCAGAAAAACATTTAAAGTTACTATAAAATTACGTATTTAAAATATTATGCACAGATAAAGATGTAGAACCATGTCCAACTCGCTTATACATAACAGCTACGACACTCTCACAAACTGAGCAGTTAAACACAGTTAAACAATACAGTAAATCATGGTCGTGTTACATGGTAGTGTACATGGTATCACTATCAGGCACTGATTCTTCATGGTCAATGTTGCATCAGAATTTTGCCTGTTGCAGATGATATCTTTTCTGACACAATATTGGAAACTACAGATGGGATGTTAACCTTACATACACGAGTACAACCTTACATGCGATGTTCTGCTTAAGTGCTATGTACATTATGGGCTTCGTGCAGGTGCAGTACGTTCTGCCGATGTATCTCAGGCAAGGGTGTAGTGGAAATAATGGACACAAAGCTTGCTAAGGCACATTCAGAATACAATTTCTCATAAGATTCTGAGCAAGGCTATGACATGAACATAGAAATTTCCAAGAATGTGCCCAATCTGTTGTAAATGATGCAACAGACATGAACAGGTCCCACTTTCCCACTGGTTTTAACAAGGAAGAAAATAATCAATGTACTCACTGAAGATGCCTGATACAATAGTTGGGCAAAAAAACAACATGAAGCATAGCAAAAGCTAAAGGTGGAAACAGCTCTTTACTGTACATGTCCCTCTTATTGGCTGAAATGGGTACACAACAAGCATCCTGATTGGTCAACCCCAGCACCTACCGACAAGGCGAAGTCGAGCACTCTCTGTATGAGCTGTGGTTGGCTGACCGAGCCGAGCGACCGGAGGATGCGGACCTTCTCCTCATGTAGGTCCGCCTTCCGCAGCAGGTCCAGCAGCTGCTCGTACGTCTGCTCGTCGCCATGGCGAAGCACCGTCGCATACACCTGATTGGACAACGGCAGTTGTCATGGCAACACTCAATGGTGCTGAATATTGTAAGGTTAAGTAAAATAACACTTGCCATTTTCTGAACTTTAAAACCCTATAGATTAAGTCAGTGAATCAGTGAGTTTTAAAAGTTACAATTGAAAATTTACGACTGAAAGCACTACATTTTATGTTGTGATTGACAGATAGAACTAGTTACAGCAAAATTTAGGGGACATAATATTGATTGCATTGGTCCTCAGAAGTCTTTAAATTATTGTAAAAAAGAGGGAGAAAGCAGGGGCAAATTAAAGAGGGAAACTAGGCTGACGATGAACATCAAAATCTGAAAAAAAGCTCCCCCTACCGGCCCCCTGAGATCTGCATGCAGAGTGCGGGTGCCTGAGATGTGCTCCTCCAGCCGTTTGGTTGCCTCGGTGATGGTTGCCTGGTGACCGTACTTCCCCAGGTGGGACAGAACAATGCTCCGCAGCATGGCGTCAAGGTGACCTGGGGGGGAGGGGGGCGGAGATAAATCATTGGGTGACCTTGAAATTTACAAACATCTTCGGTAAAACATGATAGACAATTACATCAAGCTACTAGTAGATAAAAATAAAAAAAAAGCAAGTTGTGAGGAATACTTCCTACTCTGTTTTTCTCTATTATCATCCCCATATGAGACACTGTCTCATACTTCCTCTTCAAAATGTTTCCTTTATCCATTAGAAAACCTAATCTAGTTCCTGAATCTGGTAGTGATAGGATGAAGTTGCCTCAGTCCTGAGTATCACACCTCAAATTCTAAGACTAAGACTAAGACTAAGACTAAGACTAAGACTAAGACTAGGACTAAGACTAAGACTAAGACTAAGACTAAGACTAAGACTAAGACTAAGACTAAGACTACTGAGGGTAAGTCCAGGCATTCAATGGTTAACATCAACTGGTACTCAACAATAATTTATAGCCTCTGTCTTGATTATAAGTAAGCTGAATGTGTAGATGAAAGATGAAGTAACTGAAAGAGTTAAAGCAGTCACGTACCCTCCCCATCCTTGGGGTCCCATCCCAGTTTCTCCCCCACCACCTTGAACAGGTCCTGTACGAAGAGTTTGAAGTTTGGGTAGCAGTCTGTGCCGCTGAGGAGTGTGGAAAGGCTGGCGATGTTGGCGGCCAGGTCAGACCAGACCGTGTAGTTAGACTCATTCACAAACGCCTCCATCACGCGCAGGATGTCCACTGTGCTCGCTACACCAGATTTAGCCTGAAGTAACAATAAAACAAACATTTTAGATTTAAAGCTAAAAAATTTGTTCCAACAGAAAGGATTGTTTTCACCTAGAGCTTTTGACCTCTAGAGTCACTCTGATCTTCTCCAATAGACTGACCCAGTAGGACTTGTAGCTTCTTTGAGGAAGACCAGATGGTTGAAAGCTCTAGGAGAGAACAATCTCTTGTATTGGTACAAAAACTTACACTTGTAATACCAGCACAGATGAACTTTCATCATGATAACATTTCAGACTGGAATCAGCAGAGGCAGACATTGTTATGACAGATGATAAACATGTGCTGGCCACACCAAATTTGACACAGACCCAACCAACC